GGGGGAGAAGGAGGGAGGAGAAGGAGGAGTAGGGAGGAGGAGGAGGGGGGAGGAGGAGGAGGGGGAGGAGGGAGGAGGGGGAGGAGGAGGGAGGAGAAGGAGGAGTAGGGAGGAGGAGGAGGGGGAGGAGGAGGGGGAGGAGGAGGGAGGAGAAGGAGGAGTAGGGAGGCGGAGGAGGGGGAGGAGGAGGAGGGGGAGGAGGGAGGAGAAGGAGGAGTAGGGAGGAGGAGGGGGAGGGGAGGAGGGGGAGGAGGAGGAGGGGGGAGGAGGGGAGGAGGGGGAGGAGGAGGAGGATTCCTTGGAACCAGAGTTGCAGATGGTTGCGAGCGGTTCATTATATAGATGCTGGGAATAACAGTAGATGCTCTTAGCCTGAGCCCTCTCTCCACCTCCAATTATGTCTTTACAAGTCTCTTTAATGATGGAACTTGATTTATCTCACTTAAAGTTTAGAGAGAAAAGAATTTGCATCTCATTGGTAATAGTTCCTCTTCACTTATAACACAATTTCATTTTTTTTTCTTTTCTTCAAATCCATTGAACATTGTCTGACTGTGCCCAGGTGTTCACAAGTCACATATTTAGCAAGACATAGGAGTTTAATCAGCTATCATATTTTTAATTAATCATTGAACTATAATTGGTTATGTAATCCTGAGTTCAGGACTAGAGCAAGGGAAGCCAGGGCTGAGGTCACTTTCCCTTCCCATTTCCATGTAAGCCTTTGACAGGAAAGAGCATTCCTTGACACAGGTGACACAAGTATACATGCTTAAGGTAACAATCCTCCTGCCTCAGCTCCCCAAGCAGCTAGGATGATAGGCCTGGATCACAGGCTTGACAGCTGGTCCTGCTTCTTATGACCTCTGGAGTTAGGGACAGAGTTGTCTCCCATGTCCCTCTATTTCTTACTGGCTTAGAGCTGGACCTCTCTGGGGGTCACTTTTCTGTTCTGGAAAACTGAATTCCCCAATTTCCACTCACAAGAAAGTCTTAAGAGGAGTAATAGTTCTATGGCATATTATGTAAATATTAACTGGTTGGCAAAGCTGCTTTCACCAAGACAATATCCAATTTCCCTGCCTGTAAGACGTTGGTAGCTGGGGACTGGAGAGATGGCTCAGTGGTTAAGAACATGTGCTGCTCTTACAGAGGACCTGCATTTGGTTCCCAGCATGTATCCACATTGCTCACAATCAACTGTAACTCCAGCTCCTGGGGATCTGATACCCTCTCTGAATTCTGTGGGTCCCTGCATTCTTATGGCAAACACAGAAAGACACACACATACTCAGAACTAAAAATAAACCTTTTTAAAAGAGGCTTTATGGAGGCAGGACGTGGAGGCAGGTAGATCTCAATGAGTTGAAGGCCAGCCTGGTCTACACAGAGTTCCAAGGTAGCTAAAGCTGCCTCAGAAAACAAAGAGCAAAATAAACAGTGTGGGTGGGACCACAAAGCCTCTTCCCTTTGAGGCTCTCTAGGCAGTTGTTCATTGAGAGAGAGGGTAGTATATTTTTTTCTCAGCTGTGTAGCTGTGTTGTTTGGTAGTTTTGTTTTTCTCTCCCTGAATCATGTATGTGGTGCCATCTTGGGTAATAGAATACGTTTACCCAGAAGCCAAGGCTGCTAACCAGTGGTAGCCAGGTCTATGGTAATGGACCTTCTGGTGCTTCCTGGTAAACAGAAGAGGCATAAGACCCTAAGACCCCTTTTTGTGAAACTGCAGCCTCGAGTGATTTGAGACTCCAGATAGCACGGAAAGTGGAAGCTTCAGTGAGTGGCTTTGTAGTGTAGCTCCTGTGACATCATCTGCAATGTGGTGGGACTTGGTCTGGGTGCAGCCATTTGGGGGCCAATGCCCTTATGTAAGTGAAGGCCTCCTAATTTCTTCAGAATATGTCCCTATCTGATATAAGGACAAAGCACCACAGGTAGCCACCATCCTGGTGTTCTCATGGCCAAAGAAAGCCTCAAGACCAATGGGACATGATCGGGAAGCTCCGTGGGCATGTGCTTTGTCAGTCTCCTGCTGACAAAGTCTGGAGGTTGGTGCAGATGTGCTATCTGCAGTTGTCACAGCCAATGAGGAACCATGGAGTATAATGTCTCAGTGACAGCAGATAGGAGACTGGGAAATAAATTTCCTCATAACCCTGGGGCTGTTGTACTGTAGACATTTGCGTGTATGCAGGACAGCCAGCCAGGTTTATTGAGACAGAACCTCTCTGTGGTTTGGAGCTTGCTGAATTGCCTAGGATGTGGCCCAGTGACCCCAAGGAGCCACCTGTTCTACCTCCCCACTGCTGGGATCACAGGTGTTCTATACATGGGTGACAGGAATCTAAACCGAGCTCCTAATGCTTGCACAAGCACTTTTCCAACTGAGCCATGTCTGTGGCCCATTGTTTTAAGATAGGATCTCACTATGTAGTCTTGGCTGGCTTGAACTCAGGGACCCCCCCCCCCAGCCTCCTTGCCTGGCTTTTGTTTTTTTGTCTTTGGGCACAGAGCTTCATATAGTCTAGGTCGGCTTTCAACTTGTTATACAGCCTAGAATGACAATAACTCCCGATCTTCCTGCCTCTACCTCCCAAGTGCTAGGATTACAGGCATGTACCCCATACTCTATTATATGGCCTGTGGGATACAGGGCCTCATTCATGCTAGGGAAGCATTATGCCAACTGATCCACAGACCCTTAATAATATAGTTTTTAATTATTTAAGATATTAAATTTTTTTTTTCAAGCTCAGGTTTGGGTTTTCTGTTCCCATGGCAAACATGAAGCAATGAGGGTGTTCTGACAAGAGCACACAGAAAGCCATTCCAGCAAGCCTCCTGGCAGGGAAAAACAATGTGCCCTAGGATACCAGGGAGTCGAGCAGGTGGTGTGTAGGCGGGACTTGCAAGAGGGCAGTACACTCACACAGATACGCTAATGTTTATTTGTACCGGGCTATATTTGGATGGAACTGGGGCACAGAGAAAGACCAGCAGTGTGGCCTGAAGCCAGGGAGGTGGGAGAACCAATTTTCAGGAGCTCCTATAGGGTGCTGAGCAGGGCTGGACCTCAGCTAAGGGTATAGCTATATCTGGGTACCTTCTGGGGCCATAGGATAGGTAATGGGCCCAGGAGGTTAGGGTAAGGCTGGTGGGGTAATGGTGGAGGCCAGGAGTCCCAGGTAGAGCTGACAGCTACTTGAAGGACACCCCCCATCCTGGTGGCTTCAAGCCACCAAAAGGAATTGAGATCATTGGCCTCACACAAGGCAAAGAGTAGAGAGACCAAGCCAAACTCCTGTGACCCACTAACTAGGTTCAGGGAGCAGAGAGGCTGAGCCTGGAACAGGTAAGAGCAAATCGGGAGGGCAGGCAGGCCAGGAGTACACACTCCAGGTGGGATGAGGGTCTCCTGTAACTTCAGCTCCTGCAGTTGAGTCCCTGACAGTAAAGGGAGGAAAGGTAGGTAGGTAGGTAGGTAGGTAGGTAGGTAGGAAGGAACGAAGGAAGGAAGGAAGGAAGGAAGGAAGGAAGGACCGGGATCCAGAGGCTGTGAGAGCAGAGACGGGTAGACTCGGGTAGAAGCGCATCTGAGGAACAGGGTAGTCCGTTCTCCTCCCCAGGAGGCCATTGAAGGCTTTGGTCTCCAGAGAAGCTGCAAGGACACTTCATCCAGCTTCCATCACTGTCTGTGGGAAC